TACATAAGAACAGTGTTAATAATACTCCTACAACTTTACACAAGAACAGTGTTAATAATACTCCTACAACTTTACATAAGAACATGTTAATAATACTCCTACAACTTTACATAAGAACAGTGTTAATAATACTCCTACAACTTTACACAAGAACAGTGTTAATAATACTCCTACAACTTTACATAAAAACAGGGTTAATAATACTCCTACAACTTTACATAAGAACAGTGTTAATAATACTCCTACAACTTTACATGAGAACAGTGTTAATAATACTCCTACGACTCTGCTTGAGAACAGTGCTAATAACACAAAGTTTGTGACTTATTGATAACCCATGTCGAATTAATGTGTTATTAAAGATATCAACCAATCAGTTAGATCTTATATTTCTTATTGAGAGATGTTGCAATCCATTCTGTTGGTTTGGCACACCACCAACTGTTCAAAACCCTTAGGGCTAACGTATTAATGTGTAACTCCTACTTTCTAAACCCATATATTTGTGTTGGGGCATGAAAACGGGAAGACAGTATGGTTTCAATTCGTTGTCTAATCTTTTTCAACATCTATGTGTTTTATGACTTAGGCTTCACTGATCAGTTTCTCATTATATGTTCATGTACTGATATTAATGTTTTCACTACAATTTATACTGATATTAATATTTTTAGTGCCATTTATATTGATTTTAATATCTTTATTGCGATTTATACTGATTTTAATATCTTTACTACAATTTATACTGATTTTAATATCTTTACTGCGATTTATACTGATATTAATATTTTGACTGCTATTTATACTGATGTTAATATTTTGACTGCTATTTATACTGATGTTAATATTTTGACTGCTATTTATACTGATTTTAATATTTTTACTATAATTTATACTGATTTTAATATTTTGTCTGCTATTTATACCGATTTTAATATTTTGACTGCTATTTATACTGATGTTAATATTTTGACTGCGATTTATACTAATTTTAATATTTTTACTGCGATTTATACTGATGTTAATATTTTTACTACAATTTATACCGATTTTAATATTTTTACTACAATTTATACTGATTTTAATATTTTTACTACAATTTATACTGATTTTAATATTTTGACTGCTATTTATACTGATTTTAATATTTTGACTGCTATTTATACTGATTTTAATATTTTTACTATAATTTATACTGATATTAATATTTTGACTGCTATTTATACTGATTTTAATATTTTTACTACAATTTATACTGATTTTAATATTTTTACTGAGATTTATAATTTTCTTCATTATTTGTAACAGGCATTTTGATAAATACTGTCACTTGGCGGTTGTTTCATGGGTGCATAAACCGAGCACGAGAAACAAGCCATGGTTTCAAACGAGGGAGCTACTACTGCATTCGCATCGTAACTCAAGCGGTTGTGGCGCCATCTGCCTGGCTGTTTGTTTCACTTCTGGATGGCGAGTATGTTTTCCGTCTTTTAATTAGTTAGTTTGTTTGTTGAATTTCGTGAAATAATACTCGAAGGCTATCTGCGCTAGCCATATGTAATTTTGAAATTATAGACTAGAGAGAAGGCAGCTAGTCAACACCATCTACCGCCAACTCTTAGGCTACTCTCTTCAATAAATAGTGGGATTGGCCGTCACATTATAATGCTCCCACGGTTGAAAGCGCGAACACGTTCGACGACGGGACTCGATCTCTGAACCCACAGATCGCGAGTCGAACACCCTAACCACTAAGCCGTGCTAGGCCTTTTAATTAATAACATGCCGTTAATTTCTCATTAAACCATATACGCATTTCTAAAATAAAATCAAGATTAAAAAATAAAAATAGTAAAAATCAATTGTTTGTTTGTTATTAAGCACAAAAATATTCAATGGGCTATCTGTGCTTTGAATACCGCGGGTATCGACACCTGATTTTTTTTAGCCTTATAAACCCCAGAATTCCCAGTTGAATACCACAGCATACTACAACGACCAA